TACACTGTTGCAATTCCGCACCAGAATTTATGAATGACTTTCATCATTCACTGCATCAGCTGGTTCCGATTTTACAACCAAATTGCATCTCTCCTGTGATAGAGAGCTGTCCAATTCTATTTGTGCAGATATTTCACAACAGGCATGCAATTCACAAGCGTAGAAGTTTTTTGCGACTTTTCCTAATTTTGCTGTTTTAATTAAAATGCCAAAATCTAAAGGAATTGCGGGACGTGAATGTTTGTGCCAAGTACCAAAGAATCAAGCTTCAAAATTCCCACAAAACAAACCGTTTGATTAAATACGGAAATTATACGTTTTTGGAGTTGGAAATCTTTGCAGTGGTGGGTCAGAGATTAGGATTGCGCACATGGTGTTGAATCAAGTGTGATATGACCTAAACAATCTGTACACCTTGACACTTGCTAAACAGAACTCTAGCTCCAAAAGCAATCATTTCAGTATCATTATAGCGATAGCAATAATTTAGGGCTAGTGGTTCCATCCATTTCAGAAAAAGAGGAATTTTGAAATGTTCCAAATATGCCCAAAATATGGCAGGAAAACGTAAAAAATTTAGTATCAAATCGCATCTTTACCCCTCCTAGTGTTCCCAGCATATACGGATCTGCATCCTCTTGCTGAGCAATTTTTTTAAGAGTAGTCTAAAGAATACACTATGTGAACAACTTAAGTAACAATCTCCCTTCTAATGAACAAATTGCAAGTATTCTCAGCCAATGAAGAGCATATCTTTTGTTCAAAGACTGACATTTGAATCCAATTAGTAAATGCCTCTCTACACAATGTGGTATACATGCCACTTGGGGGGGAGGGGTTGTAATGTTTCTTTCCAAATAACCACACCCACTTTTCCAAATAACCCCACCCACTTGGCACCTCGTTAATGGTTCGATCTACCATTAGAAAATTTTCTCTCTGCATGCTTTACTACAATTAGCCACCTGCAAGCATCCAGCCATTTTGTCTCATTACCTGAGCCAAATTTTCTAGAGCTGACAAACTCTGCCCAGCAAACATACTGGCTGAGAACCACTGAATGGATTTTCAAGCAGCGTAACAGTCATGGAATTTTGGCTGGTCAACTTTTTTTAACAAGGAAATGTTTTCTGAGCTTCAACGTAGCTCCAATAATTTGGCCCAGGACCATAACCAGCAAGATGATACATGCAAAGAAACGAAGCATCACAACACTTTTAATTGCTTTGCACTGATGCCAGTTTTGTCCTTAATAGCGAGAGTAAGCATAACCCCTTGGCCATTTTTCAAAACTTCGGCACTGCATTGCAGCTTCTGGCTCATACACATAGCAGATCCCCTGGTTATTTCTGGCTCAGCATGGGGCAACTTTTCCTAACCATCCAACAGTTTGAAGATGGTGATCTTACAATGGGATTCCAAATCCCATTTAGTCCAATCACTATACATTTTATGCCAATTGATGGTAACGATGAAGCCACCACCATAGACAATGCTAAGTTTTGAGAAAGACTCTCGCAGGGCAGATTTTTTTCCCCAGGTAAACAAGCATGGCTGCACACATGGGACAGTCAGGACACCATGGCTACCAAATCGGACATAAATGAAGATTTCAACAAAATGTTTTTAATAAACTGCATAAGGGGAAGAAAACCAATCCCAAGAAGACCCAAAGCATATATACATAGCAACCAATTAAAAGGGCTCAAATGTGCTTATAATGCAGGCATGCATGCAGACTGGTCAGTTCAGGTGAAGCTGGCAGTAACGTAAGTGAGAAAGGAGCAAGGCTTAGGGCAGTGGAGGGACCAACCTGAGTTGATGAGGTTAGCCGAGACAAAGTCAACTTTTGCAAAGGATTCCTGTGTGCAGTAACAAACAAAGACTTAAACTGATCGTTCTAGTCTGCGCTCCCACAGGCCTTTTTTTTTGGGGGGGGGGGAGAGTTTGTTTTTGTTTCAATATTTTGCACAACGCAGTTTGTTACAAAGCTGATGACTTGACTTTGCTCTTTTCCAGGTTGCTGTAGGAAACAGGTTTACAAAAAAGGTGTGACCCTGAAACCTCTGGCAACCACACAGGAAGAGCACTGATACAGTCTCCAATGCTCAAATCCAACTGTACGGAAGTCCAGTTTTTTTATTCATTTTGAAAGCTGTTAACATTATGCCTAAATGCAACTACCAGTTGGGCTCTTGGTACCAATAACATGAGGATTCTTACTCAAGGGAATGAATGTAAAATCGCTCACGTTCAAAATTAAACTTCCCCGACAAAACTTTCATAGGTCACACTAATTCCAACAACAATTTTGTGAACATGCCAGGAATCTAGGCTAACAGTGTGTGAAACAGGACCGTGTCAAGGTAACGAACTATGGGGTTGTGGTGTGATCTAAAAAATAATATTATGTGCTATATATCAGGCTAGTTTATGTTTGAGAATTTTCACTGACAGGCTATAAACAAAACGCCAAAAATATGATACTTCCAGTGTCTCGTTTATGTTTCTCTTGACACATTAGCCACAAGAGTTCTCAAACCTTCCCCTGTTGCAGGACTGAGGACTGTTAGGGTTTATCTACAAAAATACTGGTCCTGGGAATATGTGTGATTTCAAGAAGACTCTAAAAGTAGTTTGCGGAAGGTGGTGCTTCTGCCTTACTTCCAACCACTAGCTTCCTACCTCCGAATGTGCTGAATTCTTGTAAAATCCACCTTGGAAAATTAAGACCAAAAAATTAATACCTGCCATTGCAATTTTTCAGGCACTAAAGAGTCTTGAGCAGTCCCGCCTTTGGTTTTGAAGGACACACTTGCTTATTTCACATTGCTCACCTTGTGGGAACTATTCAGCCATGCTGTTTGCGGTGGGGTCTTATCTGCAACTCGGATCTGTATGGGGTGAACAAACGATAAGTGAATTCAAACTAGCCAATAGCAAATAAACACGCAAAATGGTTAGCACAGGATAACATTTTGCAAAGGCCAATTTTACTGAAACTATATCTGATAAGTAGCAAACAAAATTCCAAAATGTTTTTTTCAGGCCCCTTTTTCCCTTTGGACATCTGTTATGCATGAACAAGCGAGGGCTCTTTTTCACCCACCAACACCACTCTTTTACAGCACATCAGTTTAAAATTTAGAACTTGGAGAATACTACTGATCCAGTGGACGTCTTCAACAGCACTCTGGTTGCTCAAGCAGTGGTGTTTAAATGTCAGTCAAGTCTCAGTCTTTGCCAACAGTTAGAGGGTACTTCAGCACGGCACCCATCCATAAAAGCACAAGACGTCTTGCTATCAAATCCAACCACTTTTATTGGACTCAGTTTCCATTTGTCTGTCAAAGTTTTAACTGTGTCCCAACATCCGCACATGACGTACTGTACATGGAGCAGATGAATATGCAAGAAGTCTACCGGTACAATGGTAACCAGCTACAAGGCTTACCTTGGATGCAAGATTGTTTGTTACTAAATGATGGACGAAGTTTCTTCCTATAAAACCGCAGCCTATAGATACAGATTGAACAAAAAGAGAGACCCAATGTTTCAGCACCTTAATTTAAGACAGGTCCTGAGCTACGTATGTAATTTATTTTGTGAATTTACAGAAAAGTGTGACTGCACACGAGTAAATCTGTAAAACATTCAGTTTGACTTAATATTTGGAAATGATTAGTAGGGATGACCTACAGATCACTTCTAAACAGTTGGTTGAAAACCTTTTCAGTCTTACATGGTCACGCACAATACACTCACACAGAACACGTGTATTTTTAAGTAAGATTTGAAGCTTTGCATGGTGGATGAAACATGAGAAATGGGTTTGCAAGTACACCATGGAGTCAATCTTTTTTGGATGAGGTGTGGTTCTTAAAGGAACCGGTGAGTATAAAATCAACGTTTCGGCCAGTGTGCTCTGGCCATCGTCAGGAGAGTGTGCCAGACTGGAGTGGATAGCTGGTTATATACATGTATTTTTGGCAAACACATGTTAATATGGAAGGGTTGCATAGCACCGTGATCAGAATATCAACAAGAATATAATCAAATCAGAGCATTATAATATCAAATCAGTTACCGAAAGCTCGGCAATCACATATTTCAGAGTACTAATTTGATATTATATTCTTGTTGAGTTAATGATATCTCTCTATTTTTATTACTTTCCTGTTTCCATCATTTATGGGAGAATAACGCAGATCACATGGAAAGATTCAGTCATGCTTTAAACTGTGTTACATCCTCATTCAAGTGGCCAAAATCTTAACCCCGTACAATCTACTCATGGCATAGATGTAAACCAAAACAGCTCCAATTATTAAAGCAATGGCATTTAAATAAAAACCTTGCCGTACCAGCTGCCGCAACCCAAAGACTATTTTTACACGAAGTTAATGATCCTTCGACCCCATTTTGCAGATTAATTCACAATATTGCTATCACAAGGTCACCAAGTTCATGGGAAGAATTAATTATAAGCAGGAAAGGGAGTAAGCATCCATAAAAACCCTGACTCAGGCACAGTGATTTCATAGTGAGTCACTGCTTGAAATCTCATAGCTTGCTGGAATTTTTGGGTTAAAGCTTTGGTACCATGACCAGAGTCCATAATTGTCCAAATAGACACTGAGTAACCAGGAAGGACGACATAATCCAGTGGTGGAACTAGACTCTACAACTTGAAGGGGGCAAGTTGGGGCAAAGAGATATCGCTTTACGTTGCTGGGCAATCAAATGATATTTATCTCAAAACCCATATAGAGAAACGGACTAGGTGCTTACAGATTAATTATAAAGATGAACGAAGAAATTGACAGGAGCAGGATTTGAACCTGTGACCTCTGGAACACCATACCGATGATCTACCAACTGAACCATCTGTCCCTATGGTACTGGTGCACTAGCAAATGGGAAGAACCACCAACCTACCAAAGGGCTGGATAGCTCAGTTGGTAGAGCACCAATAAGGTATTCCGAAGGAAGCAGATTCAAATCCGACACCAGTCAATTTCTCTGTTCATCTATATAAAGTAATAGTATTCAATTTCCAAAAGCTGAGACATAAGGGGTGACTGCATGCTCAAAATCAAAATTTCAACTTTTCACTTTCAATGTTTTTATTGGTTCTGAAGTGTGAAGGAAATAGACAGAATTAATCCCACGGAAAACATGGGAGGGGGAATTAGAGGGCCAGGAGCAAGAGAAAACTGGGGGGGAGTGGAACAAATCCCCCATGTGCCCTCCCCCAGCCACTGATAGTTCAAATGATAGTGGGTAATTCATTTACAACTGAGGCTTATCAGCCACTGTATTTCCATTAAAGACAAATCCTTCTGCTTACAGGTACATGAAACCATAATGAGGAGAAGCTTTGTATTTTTAAAAATTTATTGATACATGTACTTATTGGAACTGAAGAAAAAGGATATGGAGTCCTCTTCATAACAGGATTGACCTACAGCAAAGCATGCTGAACAACCAATCACACCCTACAAATACTGAGCATGTTCTAGCACATGGCCATGTACATACACACTGTGACATAGTCACATACACTAGTTTTTTTTTCATAAAGTACAAATTTATAACCAACCTTGCTCATATTATTAAACTGATGCAATTTTGATCATAGACCTAGAGGAGAATTCTATGTTCTGATGGAAACTCTGACACTGAATGAATTTTAAATACCTACCTACAATCTTCCCCTCCCCCCCAAAAAAAAACAAAATATTCATCACCTCCCTCCCCTTCTATGCCACTCCCACGGGCACGGCATGACTCAGCTGGCATCATACTACTACATGTACTAGCACTGGGCAGACTATCCACAAAAGCCGAATCAATCATGATCAAAACAAACTCCTGCAGGGTCAATAACCAGGCTTTGCACGGGTGTGCCGCTAAGCTGCACCACGGACTCGTGCATACAATGTACCGGTACATGCTTGCCCACTCAATGCAGTGAGGAGCCATATTATTACATCCACTCACAGAGGTGGCAAAAGACCGTTATCCACGGCCACAGCACAGGGCAGAAAATTTCATTTTCACCGTGCAAAAAATATAAAACGATTGGAAGGAGTGATGAATCATAACAAAATGCGTACAGCCCTGAGTCGTTATTGTAGACAACAGTACACGTAGTGTACATTACGCACGCATAATGTAGCCTACAAATTACAACAGAAGGGCAACGACTTTTTGTAATGTGGGCCTACGCCACAAATTTTTGTCATGTTTAAAACTTAACATTTACACTGAAATCTGCTTTCGACATCGGAGAGCAATTAGCCATATTCAGTAACACTTGACATGCTTGAAGACGGGAACTCACCCCCGAGAACAAGAACCGAAGGCTTGCTTGGTGAAGCGGGGAGCTCTGAATCTGTACCTGCCATGCTTTCGCCCTTTTCATCAATCCATAATACAGTCAAGTGCACGATTGTCTGGGTCTATCTGCAGCATAGAAGCAATGCACCCACACGGGTATAGACACATGCGTTTAGGCAGTAACTGTTTTAGGAAAGTAGCATATACTACATGAAACAGTCGTCACATTCAGGTTCAAATGGTGAAAAGTTGGTCTGGGGTTGCTTAATTAATTCAATAATTTTTGACTGAACAAGTTGTTAATGATTTTTTTCTCTCACAAGTTACTGCAGGGTGGAATGGGTAGTTTGAGTTGAGTTATAATCAGCATTATTGAAAAAGTGATACTGGCGAGAAGAAAATGAAATGCCTGATAAATAAGTGCATGTATAATACAATTTTTCCCCGTTTTGTACATGGCTGTAGCCCGCTATTTCAAGAAATTATTTGCTGAACGATTTCGATATGTAGGTGAATGCTGATGACCTTTGTCAAGAGACCAAGGTTACGAGTTTAATCGCGAGACTGTAGCAACTTAATCTATTTAGTCAACAAAGATGGTACACCGTCCAGGAAGTGACGTACATGTACAATTGCGCAGTTTGGTTGATCGGAATCTAAAACTTCCAAAGTTCAACTTGCTTATCACGCGACTTTGCCATCACAGAAGAATCTGTGCAGTTAATTAAGCGTAGATCTTTGCCGGAGGCCATTTTTCTTCTGGAAATAAACAAAATGGACTCGCGACTGAGTTTAGCAGAATCCTTGTGGCTCGTTGTTGTTACTGCAACGATGGCTCTGCTAAATTGTAAGTTGGCAGGGATCGTTTTCATAGCGAGTAATGTTATCCCGAGATCGAATTGAATTACCAGTTATCTAGGAATGATTTGTCGTTATTCTGATGGTAACTCTAAAGCCAATAAATCTCAAAGTTGTCATTTTCCAAGTGATGTTTTTAGAAAGAAAATGTAACTGGGATCATTGTGAAGGGGGACACAGACTGCAGGTTAAAGAGAACTTAACTGAGTGTATACCGGTACCTAGGAGAATTGAACCCATGGACTGGATCTCCTAATTTCTCAGTTTTTTTATTATTAACCCGAAAACACAACTAGAAGGGTTTGTTGAACATTCGACGCCACTTATCATTCTTACAAGTCCACAAGTCACTGATGGGCTCATTACGATGGCTACGGTGCAAAATTGAAACTATTTTCTTTAAATATTTCTCTCTGTCTCAAGTTTTTTTAAGTGAACATATTCAACCGTTATATACTTGGGTTTTAGGCCAGTCAGTTTCTGAGCCAGGCACACACAAATGCCTCAAGTTTCACTGTGAGCGTTTTCATTACTTACTGGTGACTATATCTTACAGGTCCGGGAGTGGAGGGAAACACATGTCCCAGCTCCTACCCCTTCTATTCCTGCCCACGACCTGGTGACCTGACCAAAGACACGGTGTGCTGTATGCGCAGTAGCAGATACAGCTGCTGCACCCCTGAATACATTCAGTAAGAACAACCTGCCTATTTTATGGGTCCCACATTATTTTATTCTCTTTTAATCTTTTAATATTGCTATTAACCCAGAACCATCACCGATCAAAGAGTGATTGCAGACTTCCTTAAGCGTTTACTTCAAACTCCCTTTTCCATCTGTCCACTATATGCTTAAATATTACCAACAGTTACATCCCGGAATGAATAAAGGATTTCTCCGGAAAGATATTACAGTGGATGCCCCTGATGTGCGCATGTCTTGATCACCTCATTGCAGAGAGATAAGCAAATTATTGGAGTTTGCTTGACTTCCTTCCCTTCCCCCCCCCCCCGCTTTTGGAGAAAGGATGTTCTTTTTAACTGATTTAAATATAAATCTGACATGAGATTTGATGTGGCTTGGTAACGGCTCACTGCCTGTGAGAGGGAACATAAATTCCTTTCTGTAAGGACAAGCCTATTTTGATAAACGTGACAGAAATCGTATGGCTGTCAAGCAAAAGACAAGTTAAGTTTTATCCATTGCTTCTAATGAAGTAGTTGTTGCTACGAAAACTCATGAAGTCTTAATTTCTTCTAACTATTCATAGAGTGCTACCCCATTTTTGCCATTGTATCTATACAGACTAAAATGGTTTTCCATATTATTTTGTGTTTTTTATCCACACATCTCTTCTTTATAACAATGAATTTACTGCTTGGATTTCTTTTTAACAGAGGGTGGGGTATTGCTTTGATAGTTGTCGGCTGCATCTTTTTCACCACCCTCATAACCGTCTCCATTTGCCTCTGTTGCCGCAAGAGGAAACGCCAAGAGTACACCATCATCCGAGACAACTGCCCTCAGCCCCACCAGCACGGGGTGATCGTCGTCTCGGCCCCGCCACCCCCACCTGGCCAGTACGGTTACAGCGCCATGGCCTACCCGCCCTCGAACGTCAGTCTCCCACCACCCTACCAATCCAAGCCACCGGTAGCGCAGTCATCACCGAGACAGCAGGGCAATGAACTCAGCGAAAATGAGGAAGATGCTGTTTAGGCAAATTTTGAGGGCTGCGCTTACCTAGCTGGCTATGCAAATGGTTAAAATTTCGTCTTTTCTTAAACACGTGGTTAAAGACATAAGGGAATAAAGACGGGGGTTTACAGTGAAGGAGAACGAATATCTAAAAAAAAAACTAGATTTTGTGGAAACTTGTGTCATCGGGGATCTGTTCTTAATTATGACGACATCGACGGTGCCGTGATGGCGATGGTTGGTAACGAGGAATAGGATGGCAGCGGATAGTGCAGTGACGGCAATGTTCAAGTTTGTCGATGGCACGGTCAGGGGTTATTTAGACTAGTGATCCTGAATGAGAAAAGATAATTACGGTCGCTAATTAGAGAAGGCGCAGGTTGCTATCCCAGAGTATGCAAAAAAAGCAGGTGCGATCAGTCACCGGTCGATTTGGCCGTAATCAAGGATGAATCTAGAACCAAAGTTTCGGGGGCCGAACTGGGTTTCTTTTTTTCGGGGGGGGGGCAAAACTTTAATTTTAAACTTTTTTTTTAATGTATGTAACCTTTTATGGCACTTCTGAGTGGTGAGTAAATAGGGGTTTTTGGATCAAGTGCTTTGTCCCAAAAGATTCGCCTTTCTCTCATCACTTTTAAAAATGGCTCATTTTTGGTTGGCCAAGCTCCCGTTGGACACCCCCCCCAACTGCCCTTTAATCGATATCACAGAACAAAATATACCAGACAAAACAGATCATTGTTTGACTCAATACCGTTTGGATGAATTATGTCAAAATCAAAGTGGCTTAGGCTAGTGCACGAAGCTGATGTACTTAGATGATCGTCAGTGGTCACAGTTGCATAAATTAATGCATTTTACTTCCGTTTTCGGGGGTTCGGCTTTAAGGACACTACAGATGCCAAATTTAGTTGTCTGTTTTCAAGCATGGCAGAAGAATATAATAGACGGCGCTGTTTGGTCTGAGCATTCATTGCCCGACAGGCTTTGGTGTTCATCCGCACCACATAGCGCCCTCATCTAATATAGCAGCCGTGCTTCTCAGACAGTCACTGGGTACCGCTTTGGCTTGGAAGCAACACTCAATTTCATTTCGCTTCGCTCTTCTAGCAGGCTTACTCAAGCTGGGGAGAGTAGATACCCCGGCTTCCCCTTTTGTTTCACCTAAGTTGGGCAACAGGATTATAGATTGTTTTGTTCACTGATAGTCCATATATTAATCACGTTCCTCATGTCGCAGTGCCAACATCGACTTACTTTTCCCGCCGAATTCATAATGAAATTGTCACTATTATGTGCGTAAGTTTTATAAGTGGTATAAATGGGACTCCGTATTTAGGAGTTTGCGGCGTTCTTCGCATTATATTCGGCATTGAGTCATCGTTTTCATCAGTGATTGGACACGAAGTTTTTCATTTGTTTCGTGACTGAATCTAGGAAATCAGCTTAGAAAGTGGAAAAGACAATGCAAAAACTAATAAACATATTGAAAATGACGCAATGGATGGTTTAATACATGAGTGACTTCCATAGCGCAATGACTATACTGCCAGCGAATGTATCTTTTCATCACTATAAATTGTTTGTTAAAAAGATAGTACGTAGTCTTTTCTAGTTTAGGGAAAGGTATTCAGTGCAGTCTGCCATTTCAACTGGGCTGTCCCACATACAGTGCCCATCACTGAAATTTACCAGTGGAAACCCCAAAGAGGGAAGTTTAAGAAATGCCAAACTGGACATTTTCACGCAAATAAATTGTGCAAATTAGTGCCAACCCTCGCTTTAACTCTAACGGTTACAATGGTTCTGCGTTTTGAAGATGATTAATTGGGTTCACGAAAAAATCCTTTATTCAGAAAGTGATTCATGGGCATTTATTTCACACAACCCCCACTGACTGATTCCAGGATTCATTAGGCATTCTTTAAATATTAGATTCATCGAATCACTTTTGGATTCACTAAACAGCGTTTACTTTTGTATTTTCTTCCCGTGTATTTAAAATGACTTTCGTTTCATGGCCAGTAGAATAGTTGGTAATTGGCATGTATTCATGTGGCCGTTTCCAATGGTTAATGTTGTAAATGCATGTAGACCAGGCGTCGTGGCTTTGATTCATTTTACCTCTCATTCATTTGATATTGATTGTACAATTCATGTAGCCTAGTAAGTTTATGATATTCATATTGTATATTTTATCAAACAGAATGTTGAATCTTGATTTGGGGAAGTGTGCTCACATAACGTCCCCTTTTCCAGTGCCTTTGGGGTATTTGGGTATTAACATTAAAAGCACGGGAGTGGAGGTGTAACATTAGTAAGAAAGGAAATCTGAAAACTGAAACAAGTGTAGCTATAAAAGCCGTATCCCTTTGGCATAGTGTCACACAAAAACCACGCCCCTCACCATTTCTTTGATTACATCATACAATTACCATTTTTATTCATATTCTCTTTTAGTGCTGAGCGCTTCAAACAAAAAATCCAGCGCCAACAAAACATCCTCAGACGGTGCATGGTACTGTACTAAACAATACGGTTTCTCATCTGTATTACATTATAGAAATTGATATCTACGAACGTTTACACCTTACAATGGAAATGTCTGCGACATGTTTTTAAAAATCCAACTTCATCCTTTTCCATCTTTCAAGATGATCCCTTCTATAGTTACCACCACACCTTAACACAGATCACAAACAAAAATCCTGCTCAAAGATACATATTCTGAACCCCCCTTTTCAACCGTCAATCATGAATAATTCAAACCCTGTTCATCAGGGTTATTTATTTGCTCGATTTCAACTGAAGACAAAACGCAGACAGAAATCTCCCGCTTAGCTACCAAGCAGTGCTAAGATTTTCTTCTATAATATAAAAGAAACTTGAAATCGTGGAATTAATTTTTTTTTTCCTAAACTGCGTTCTGTTTTACAAGGTAAAGTCAGCAAAATCCTCATCCCTGCATACTATACAGAGTCAGAAATGTGTCTGGAATTTTTCAGGAAAAAATTAAGAAAGGGTAGATATTTTTCGAATTTACAGCAAAATGCACAGAATCACTTACTGATTTCTATTCAATTCAAACCATACCAAGCCATTAACTCAGCCTAATCCATCTTCATCATATAAAATCAACACGTTCAAGGTTAGCAGGTAAGATAGCATGCAGACTGGTAACCATTACCTGTGGTTAGCGGTCAGCACTGTGCCAATGTGTGGTACCACACCAATATGGCTACAGGAAACCAAAAAAGAAAGGATCGAGGACCATTACTCGCACCTCAGAGAGATTTCACTACAATGTACTTAGTTTTGGGTGCAAGCAAAATGGTCGCATGAGCACTTTGGAAATTTGGCAACACTATTGTGTTGATTGGAACATTCAGGACAGGCTTTGCTAGATGTTGAAGAAAATGTACCTGTGACACCGTGTGCTGGCTGAAGCAATTCCTGTTTCACCACACACACTTCAAAACAATTCTAACTGCTTTCTCCATCCATGTTTTCTGACCATCTGTCTTTTCTCTTTAAGAGCCCTGACACCAAATCCCTCCCCCCAAACACGGACAGCTAGTACCTGAGGCTCTCCCATCTTAAGCCCACATTTGGTACGTATGGCAAAATGCCTTCAGAATCTCTAAGAAATATACATGACACATACTGTGATCACAGTTTTCTAAAAGCGGGGCTCCATTTTGAAAATGCTGGAAAAGATTCCCCATCATTTACTTTCAGACCAGATTCAGAGACCAGAACACACAAGAACTAATGTTAACTGAGGGCAAACCAGTCACTAGCCCCATGTACAGCAGGCACGTCGATAAGATGAAGATTATAAAATGTTTACATTTTACATTACATAAAGCTGATGATTAATTCAAGTAATAAAGTTACACTTAAAGCAAAGCAACTGTTCAAAATAAAAAGAATATCAAATCAAACAAACTAAGAATAATGTTGAAGTGGATATCATCCCTCCCTAATTGTATACTACATGTATCATGTTTATGTACATTATAAAGTTATTAGGAATGAGGGAAAACGGGGAAAAATATTAGCTGGTTTCTACATTTTACCGTGCAGACAACAGGAGATTTTTGCTTCACAAGTCACATCAACAGAAGTCCAGGCCAGGCTAATTTGAGGGATTTGAACAAACTGAGCTGCATATGCTCGCTTGATTGCATGAACCAAAAAATACTCAGGCAGCTGGGAATATTCTAACTCTTTTACCTAAATGATCCCTACTTCATCCAAAAAAACTCAAAAAATTTCAGGAGCCATGTTGAAAATATTAACGCCATTTCAATGAACATGCTGGTTGAGCGTACCTCCAAATATATCTCCACTCTAAGTGCATTAACCTTTCCTGCATGTGAGCTTCACTGCACAGGCTGAATGCAGCCGCACTGCATACACACTCTTCTACCAGCCAACACTGAAAAAGTCAGAAATTGGAACGCCCACTTTCCGAGCCCATAGCAAAACAAGCAGCTGTACAAGAGAAGCTGTTTACATGTAAAAGTACGCACAAACATTTGCGTGTGTAATAACGGCCATTTTGACAGAGCAAATAGCGCCCTCATTTTTCTGCGATAGTGGTGTAGTACCCTCTTGGGCAGAGACCTTTTACCTTTTATTTTTTTCTTCTGTTTCATACGAATCAGAAAGTTCCAATTTTTTGTAGTTTGAACACTTAAAAATTGGGATCGGTGCCAGTTAAATTGAAACAGTCAGCATGTATGCACTCTGGACGGGGGATGCTGTGCAGTCTGCCTTGCCTTTCCCCAGGTTCATCTTTTCAATATCCCGGGATGTCCCGGGCTATGGATGCCCGCAATGCACTCTTAACATGTCAGGCGTGGAGCTGGCGGCAATACGCACTGAGAGTCAGGACCTGCCACGGGAATTGAAAAAACTGCCCCAGCTCCATGATGAACTGTAACATTGAACCACCGTACCATCTTGCTAAACTTACTGTGCCAACAGAAACATAACCTTGCTTTGGCAGAACATTGAGCTAACCTTTTCAGGATGTTTCGCTGGTTGATGTACTTATGATGTGCGTGCCTACATTTCCACAATTAAAGCAATGAACCCAGTCTAGTGTTCCAACAGCGCACACCTGAAATGATGTGCGTCCGAGGTCAATCGGACGCAAATGCCAAGTCTACCATAACAGCGCGGCTGTACGTGGACTCGCAGGCGTGCTTTGTTTCCGACTGACCTCGCTGCTTGTTGTTGCTGGAAGTCAGCGCTCCAGCTTCCAGCCTCTGAGAGCAGAGGGCATCAAAGATGGTGTGCTCAACACTCATCAGCACTACAAATTCGGTTCTCAACCCTAAAACTGGATGGCAAAGCTTTGGTCACTTGTCCAGGACATTGCAATCATAAATATTTGTTTATGTACAGCACTAAAACAGCTTCTAAGCAGAATTTATGTTACAGCTTCGTGTAATACATGGAGGTGGAAACTGTGTCAGATTGTTTGCAGTAAGTTGATTATTACGGGGTACTATGAAAGCCAAAGGACTTGGATCCACACACAAGTTACCCTTTTATGTACATTCAACGTGAAACACTTAGCCAAAAAGAAGGTGTAGATACGACACGGTACTAAAACAAGAACCGATACGGGCCGATATTCATTTAGGTGTTAAATTATTGGAACCTCCGGGGTTTGTTACTTGTGCAATGAAAGGCATCTCCAACACATGTACTAAGGTACTCACTACCCAAGATGCTGTCATGTTGGCTTAATCCTTGGAATAACAGTCATATTTGTGATCCTCTGTGGAATTGATCAAGCAATTGAGTTTAACCTGAGGGCTTTGAGGGAAAAAATGTTTGCCTGTCAACTGGGCAATGCCAATACTCCCCACACAAAAGTGCACTGAAGATACAACGCTCTCCGCGATGACTCTATATGGGTCAGGTTGAAATGCGCTCATTTGCTTATCTGGGGACTACTGCAGGTTTCTTGGAGGGTTACTGCCTGGCTGCTAACCCCTATCATAATGTCCAGGATTAAAATATCGGTGTCCATCTTAAAAGCAACATCTAAAGAACATTGGGTCCAGTAGAACAAGGGTCGTTTCTGTTTGCTGTTTCACTGTGAAGCGAGGTTAAGTGGGCATGCAGTCCGGATGTGGTCTTACAAAGTGTGGTTTAATTACAGCAAAGGGATCACGTCATTTAAGTCCCTGGGCAAGCTAGTTAACCAAAATAATTTCTTCACTTGTGAGCAAATGGACACCTATGAGCGCATTAAGTGACATCTTTCGGAATTAGATGTGCTACTTGAATAAACTCAGTGTGGGCATATGGTGGTGTGTTTTACACACTTTAGAAGTCCCATGCACTTTGCATAAAATATAACATTACGTACATGTACACCTCCATCAGGAGCATGCAGGGGCTGTTCTGGAACCTCACCCCCTCCAACAATTCCTCACATCAGGGTACTTACATGTACATCCAGGCAATAGCCCTGCTGATATTCATAAACTGTTTGAAGTATTTCAAACTTTCAAGAAAGTCAAGAAGAATCACATAATGAGAGTTCGAGAAAACTACACCTACCATCCAGAAACTTTTTTGGGGGGAGCTACTGGGCCCGTGATGGGCAAATGTGAACCTCCTGGGTGTTCTAGCGATGTGACCGGGGGGGTTGCTTGTGAAGAGAGATGACAAGGGGAGAGGAGTGGTTACGGTGACTTGCTTCTTTCCTATATTGACTGGCAGCATTTCATTTTTCTTTGTTCCGAGTCTGTTGTTGGGGGAATTGTGATGGGCTTGACGTCGGAGCTGGGGGAGTCCTCCCCATTGCCGCCATCCCGTATGCTCTTTTGGGAGACTATCTTATAGATTTCTGTTGGTCAAAGACAAGACATAAAGGGAATCATGCAAACGGAATCAAATGACACCTGTGCCCTTCGCACCAACATTTGTTTTACTGGTGCTGGGACACCACATACATCACTGTGCAGGAACCTAACGGCACCTTGTGTTCAACAGTCAATATGCACACGGCTCCACGCAGATTAACAGTGACAGGCTACATGTGTACCTTTCTCAACCCTACAAAATCCTCCAAAGTCATTAAGCAACACTTGCACGCACACCACGATAAAGTCTAAAGCTACTTACAAATGAATAAAGTAACTCCAATAGTCCGGTATCATCACATGTGATCATTACATGTGATCATTACGTGGTCTACCATGCGACATTGAAATAGCACAATGAGGTATTTAACAACACTGTTAAGCTTAATGGGCCACAACTACCGGTGCCAACCATGGTAACTTATCAGTCAATCACAAACTGTGGCATGTGCAACCTTTCTCGTCACTGCCTTTAAAAGGACGGGTTTCATTCGCAGGGCTTTACATAATAAGCCTTTCGTGAATTAAATTTGAATAAAATCTGGTACACTGAATTCTTTAAATTCACGTGAACATAACAATTGGAATTCTCCATACTAAAACCGCTGCTGCTATACCTTGTGATTCGGGGCAAGCTTTTCCTTAGTTACATAAGAGACGCCTTGCAACAATACACTGTTCTCAATGGATAAGAACCGCACAAAGAAACCAGTCCATTCCAGAGATGGTGGTCGCTAAGCAAAAGCTTGCCCCTAATCACAAGGTATAGCAACAGTGTCTTTAGTCTGGGGAATTCAAATTGTTACGTTTCTATGCCATTAGATAACACAGGGTACCAAATTTTATTCAAATTTAGCTTGCTTAAGTGGCTTATTACTAGAGTGCTTAAAACTACTGTGCAAAGTTAAGCTTGCTAGGTGCATCCATGTTTGTGCACAAACCAACGAAAAACTTGAGATTGCTGTACGGCTTTTGCACAGCTATTTGCATACCCCCATCTGTATTCTAAAAATGATACATCAACAAATCCGATAGGGCTAAAAGAAAACACATGTGCCTAATGAACTGCAGATTAATTCTGCTGGGGCGCAGGACATCATTTGTGCATTGTGTTCCTTTGAGGCAACAGAATTACTCAAAATCTAACGGGTGCCCAAGAATAAACTTTAAGGTTCAGCTCTGTGAATACTGTACATTCTTGAGACAAACAATATTGTAGGATTTGGATTTTAGAATCGGATCAGACATTGCTGAGTCAAGTTTTGGATTGGACCTGAGTTCAGCATCTGCGACAAGTTCTCACGTTCAGCAAAATGCAGATACGATTTCATGCACCGAACCGACAAGTTACAGAATCCATGTGTGTGCATGTGTTCTGTCAATGCTCGTATGCACTTCCAATGAAAACTTTTTGAAAATGCATCTTCAGATGTTTCTACGGGAATGGCCTTCTTTCAAAATGACAGCTTGCCAGCAAGGAAAATTTCACAGGGAGTTTAGTCCCACAACTATGGTTAAACCAAGTAAACTTTTCAACAAAAAAATTGGCAGTTACTTTGTGGATAACTACAAATGGTGGGCTGTACCTGTCATGTTCTGTGCTGACGATAAAAACACGCTTAAATGTTATTATCGTTCCATCTTTCAATTATGTTCTACAAACACACACGAATTAAAAATTTCTGCACACAAGTGAGGGAATGGCAAGTTTATGCGCTCATAATATAAACGAGCTCTACGGTTTGATTCAGTTTTTGAAAAACACACCAAGAACAAAGAAACACAAAACAAATTACAGAAAAACAAGAACAAAGAAAAGTCATCCTACCTGTTAATATTTGTTTAAAGGCTTGCTCTACATTTGTTGAGTCCAGAGCTGAGGTTTCAATGAAGGATAGTGAATTCTTTTCTGTGAATAAAAATGACCCCACTATTTAGTACTAACGGAAAGGAATTTCAGGTTTTTAACACTACAGTTGTGAAATTCAATGTTATTATGCACAATTTTAAAGGATTTATTTGGTTAACCCAACCTCCAAATGCCTCCATGTAAGAATTGGATACAACCTCAAATCCTCCCAAATCCTATTATTTCTTAATGTGTTTCTTGGAGGTGTGCCCGGTGCCTCAGACCTTCACAATCCTCCGCTGATTCCTGTCGTTATGTTCAGGCAGAGCAAATGCTATCCTGGAGCAGTGGGAATGACGTCATATATTTTATAGGCCTGAAGTTTTGCATGGCCAAACGTAAAAAACACAAGGTCCAGTCCAAGACCTTGATACAATGCATCGTTTGCAACCAGCCGCGATCAATCATGCCTCAATCTTCCCAAACCATTTGGATTCTAGAGGATTTGGAAAGGTTAGGGTTAAGCATCCCATGCCAATGCTGCTGTTATAACTGTGGCATTCTGGCGAGATTGGACAAAATCTGAACAATGCAAAGTTATCTTATTGCACTTTAGGCATAAAACCGAGTGCTTTTTACGCAGCAGGTTTCCTTGGAGTGACAAACCACATGTGCATGCTTGGTCACACACGGCACACATGCAGCATACTGCCCAATACTTCACATGTACATAAAACGGAAACCTGTTCTGTGTTTAAATCACTGATAAAAGCTTTCCACAAGAACAATGGCACCTTACAGGAAGAATCAAAAGCTGGAGGAGGGGAGAGCTCAACAATGCCAGCCAGTTTGCAGCATCACACATAACGAGATTGCTGATTGGCCAGAATGCACAAGGTCTCTGCACGAGATCGTCTCAAAAAATCAATCAAGCTTCTCTCTGCAACATGTGGTTTGTCCACTATCGGTGTGAACTGCCAATAGGGAAACCAAACCACCAAGTCTGGCTTTTTGCACTGCATGGAATTCTGGTCCCTGCATCTCCGCCTAAGTGGGCCCTGATTCGTCGCCTCAGCTTCTCTGTAACTGGTAAGGGGGGCTACTTTGGCAAAGAATCCCCAAGTGATTACCTGCGAATGCTTTTGCCTCATCTGTGGGTACCGCCCTCAAGTGCCGCAGGTCACTTTTGTTCCCTACTAGCATGATAACGATGTTATTATCAGCATGGTCTCGTAGCTCCTTCAACCATCGTTCTACATTCTCGTAGGTAAGGTGCTTAGCTATGTCGTAGACAAGGAGGGCTCCAACAGCACCTCGATAGTATCTGCACAGATAGAGATAATCAATGGTCATTGGATTCATATAAATTGGCCTGACCATGCTTCCCTCACCAACAGCCATCGCATTCTGTGAGAACAGACATGGATTGAGTTTTACTACTCTTTTGAGGTTCTCTAAGGCTGAAAGAAAAAGGCGAGGAAGAAAGCAATGGTTTTGAAAGGTCAAACGCCTTCTCTATTTTTCTGGCAGAAACTGAATGCACTGAACAAGTTCAACAAAAGGTGCCAACCTGTTTGGTTCGGCAATGCTGGCGTAATGTCTGAGTCTAAAATTTTATCATATTATCTATTTTTTTTATTTACATTTAAATAAGCTTTTCCCTCAACTACCCACAATGAAAACCTTACTAATCGGAACTACCCACAACTGGTCACAATCTGAGTCTAATTCAGAACAGATGCTAACTGAGGTTGCCACTGTGTCAATATCAGGGTCACTAACCCCTACTAAGCCATAAAACCACATGTGCTGAAATATGTTGAAATTCCACACCTATGTAACGTATAGCAGAATTTTAAATTATCAGAGACTGATGCATAATGTGCAGTGCAGCTAAAGTTTATTTATAGTATTGTGGCCAAGAAAATCCCTTATCAAACTGTTGGGGGTATTATAGGGCGGACGGCTGACATTTACTCACGCGCTCGTTATAGCTCTGTACCGCTCCTGTCCCGCCGTGTCCCATATCTGTGCCTTTATCGTCTTGCCGTCCACCTGAATGCTCCGTGTGGCAAACTCCACCCCGATGGTGCTTTTGCTCTCAAGGTTGAATTCGTTTCTCGTGAACCTCGACAACAGGTTGCTCTTTCCGACCCCCGAGTCGCCTATCAGCACAACTGCACAGGAGGAGCAAACAAAGGCAGGCAGATGACAAACGGTGCATGCATTTGCAGTAGAGGGCAAAATATTTGCTGAACACGGGAGGGGCTTAGAATAGGGGTGTCATTTCAATCACTGCTGAACCTAAACCTTTGTCTGTGTAGCGAGCATGTTGATCTCTTATTGTGCATGCACTGATAGCTGTTACACTGTGTAGTGGACTCAGCTGGCAGGTTTGACTGAAACCCACCCTACCAGAATCAGCATGGTGCCCCCTAGACTGCCAGGAGGTAATTTTGGGTCACCACCTTCTTGTGGTTACAGTCCCTTCACAGTGTCAAGTCTCAGCTCTGCTGGTCCAGCCTCATGCTAAGCCTCAAGGCTCACGCTTTATAAAGGAACAAACATGGGTATCATGTACATCCAGACAAATCTGTACAGCCTTCAGCCTGTTCAGGTCTTTCTTCATGTCTCAGATGGCCTTCTTCCTCAGTGCCCATCTGCTTACACATCAAAATGTACAAGTACAAGTACTTTGAAATAAGGACAAACCCTACATGCAAGTTCATACATGTACATTAACTCTATACTGCAAGTGTGAACTACATCTAGTCCTATACACCTTCATTAAAGCAAAAAAAGCTAATCTACCGCTACAGTACTCAGACACTAGAAAGTAAATTTTGGTACCATCTTGTGACAAAATTCAGAGCCTTTTGAACAGGTCTCCTATTTCACATCAACGCATGTGGATAAACACAGCAATACAATGTAATCTAATTTGTACAACAAAGGGAAATTCATCGTGAATAAGAAAGGCTACATCAACATATATTTCAACCATGTCAACATTCTCAATTTAGAAAAATCATAACTGTAACTGTACAGGTGAAAATACTTCTTTTTTTTTCATCAATGTTCAGAGGACACACGGCAAATTGGCAATGTATCATTAATTAGCTTGAAAATTTACGAATGACAGGTACCAAGTTTGACACCTGCACTAATAGACACAAATTTCCTCCCAATTTCATTTTGGATTTCAGGAAGCCAGTGACATGGCCATGAGCAAGGCAGGTGGCATTTGCAATATTAAACCTTCCCCTCCCTCCAATCCTGTAATACACTTGACCCTCCTCCCCTTTTCACATGACCTGATAAATATGGGCCACAGTGCAAGGAAAAATTTCCAGAGCACTGCATCCCGCCTTCGGGCAAAATGTCGCCCCGTCTGTATAAATTTGGTCTCAAATTTTATAAATACTGTCATCTCTCACCCACCAGTAAAACAAAAGGCACACCTATATGTCCATATTAGGTTTTTATCAGTGAGGAAAAACTGGTCGAAGTTGAATCTTTTTCTCCAGCTTGTACCTGCGTAAATTACCATAATTAAACAGAAATCAGGAACACCTGCGTGTAAAATGAGTTCTAGATTTTGGGTGTACATTTCATACACACGTTGGGACAGTATTTATTTGACTATGCACTTCCTTCTAACATGTCTCATCATGACCTGCCCACTCCCTATAAATGTACGTGCATGTGCAGTCTGGCAGGGCATGCATGTTCGTCAAATCCAGTTGCATTTTCGTGTATAGTTTTAATCCTTTCATGTGCACAACTTGTGGGCATTAGTGACTGTTGCTTTTCAGTGACTTAAAAATTGTCACTTGGTAGAAAAAAAAATCACTTCAAAGGTGATATAGACTATTACATGTCAGACTGATGATTCCAAATTCATCTTTGCCGAAGTACATGTACATGCATTTTAAAAAAAATCTGAAAAAATTTATGTACACACCTGTATCAACCACTACGTGAAAATAACACGTAGGCCTACATGTACATGTATGTAATTAACACAAACGTCCACGTATGTACAGGTATATAGATGTAGATGTGCACGTATCAGGGCACTTCCAAACCAAATTTCACAAAAGACTCTTCCTTGTTTCACTTCTTGAAGGTATTCAGCATGCACTTAGCTAAATACACATTTGACTGATAACACCCCACTAATACTGTACCACTGCGTAACCACTCTAGAGGAAATAAAGTGTCCATGTACACGTATGTACATGTGTTCATGTGAGTCGGCTTTCATAAGAAACTACAAGTGTGATTATATGTACATGTATGCTGTAAATGTTACCAGCGAATCCCTCGTTGCCAGTACTTGTTGGCATGTAAATCTTCCAAGGAAACTGGAAACTGGACGGTCGTGGCTTACACCGACACTTGACATGCACATACATGTACATTTGGATCAACATGAATGGTTACAGGTACATGCTTCTGATTAATGGGCATCCACACAGTCATTCCAGGTGCCTCCTCATTTGCATTTGGCCTCCCCGTCTCACTGCACCTTGGGAGACATATGGGAGGCCACCGAAGGGTTCATTTCAGGCCTGGCGACCATGCTGACTAGACCAAGGACTATCTTCCCAGGAAGGGCCCTGGAGGCGGGGAAAACCCTGGCCAGACTCCAGCCAAAAACACAACTACCTGTATCTGGAGAGGTCATCCAATTTCATTGGAATTCTTAGGAAAACAGGTGGAAGCAAACAGATGCCAACAGGGCCATTTTTCAATGCCATCAAATTTTGTGGCCTGAATGAAATGAATGTTATCCATGTACTATAACTGATGAAGATGACCCTTAGATTAAATATGTCCAGCGGATGCCACAGAACACGTGTGTCTAAATGATGGTCCCAACACAAGTCAATTTTTATTTATGTGACTCTGGCGCATACATGTTGCAAACATCTAATTTTAAACAATGAACAGGTGTTATCAATCAGTTTTCAAGCGGCTTACTTACACGCATACTCACTAGCTTCAACCAATTTCTGAAAAATCCTACTTGACAGCACAAGGGCATTTGGCATAGAAAAAAATGTCTTGGCCAATCTTCTGTGAACTGAAAAAAAACAAATTTCACAACTGCACTACGCATGACTTTACATGCACAAATGTACACATGTACATGTACCTGTACATGACTTAATTAAAGGCACATTGACGGTACAATGAACACACACAGTGTAATTTTTCCTATGCATGTTTTAGCGAACACATTATTCTGTGCTTATACACAATTATTACAACGTCGATGTCCTATTCCTGACTCTCTTGCAAAGATCCCACCGACAGGAATCATTCCCAAACCTACATGTACATGTACCAATGCATGTGCTCCTTGGGAAAAAGGGCAGTCCTCTACACAGGTCTACTGTATACTGTATACTGTATGTCATTCTAAATTTCCTATACAATCTTATATATTGCAGCTAGCTCACAAGTTCCAGATGAAGCTTGTCAAAAAACAACTGACCACTGTGTGTCACAAAAATCAGTTACAGTTTGCTTGCAAGTAGGGCCTACATTCCAAAGGAGCAGCTAGGGCAGGACCAAGGCCCTTACTTCTGACGGCCTGCTGACCTGTTATGGTGCTACTGGTGTCACGCCCTTGTAGAAAGAGTAATTCAGCATCACAAGGCACACATACCTAATTGGCAAGTTTTCATTTTAAAAATCTTACGTGCGATAAATGAACAAGACAAGCAACGGTCTGAACATTTTGGACTCTCAATATTGTATATATGGGAGTCCCAAAACCCAAGACAATATGAACAGGAAATACATGATGTATAAGAAAAAAGACTGGTGCTCCAAACAACCTACTGTACATGTACATGTATTCAACACCCTTGAGAACTGTATCAATCAGACGTTTCAAGTGAAACGTCTAGAACCTGTAGTTTCTACTTCCGCACATTTTCTCCACCCTCCTGCCACCAGACTATTGAATGGGCAAACATTTGCAAAAGAGTAAATTGAGTTCACTAAGCTTCACTCTCGGGTGTACAATGAAGCCGACGGGTCTCTTTTAAAAACTGTACAGCGCCCTCAAACTTGGGCGGTAAAGCACTGTACAGAGGACTCTGTCTTTCTTCGCCTCAAAACATTTGGAGAATTTCGTTACCTAAATAGTAAATAAAAGTGTCTTGGTTTTGTTTTTGCATGCTTTTTACATGCTCAAGGTCTCAGTCTGGAGTGAAAGCAGTAATGTACATGAACCCAACTTGTGCAAATGGAACAAGGCCCCCATCATGTGAAATGACTTACCAAATTAACAGCAGTGTGTATTGGTTATTATGTATACAATGCCACTCAAGCCGAAACTAGTTACTCATACATTGCATATTTGCTCTCTAGAACTGAACAAACCATCCTCCCCCCCTCCCCCAACAACAGCTCAGTCAGCGATTTGTATAGGACAGGAATTCTTGTGGCAGCAGAGCTCCACCCATGCATAAACTAAAGCGGTTTTGGGGGATTGTGGATGTCTATATCGGGAATGCCCAACCTGTAGGAATAAATGATGATTCATACAATGCTACGTGTAGAGTATTGAGGAAGAAACCTCTTCAGAACACACAAGAATGAAACAGAAAGTACAGAATACATGTGTCAAGCACAAGCATACAAGTAAATAGAGCCACATTCTGAATGGAAAACCATGGAGTAATTTTTGAGTCATTTGAAATTAACATAAGGATATACATGTACATCCATGTACATGTATAAGTGCCATAATTTGCAATTATTTGCAAGACTGCAGGCATATGAACATACTACATTACTGCACGGTGCACATGTACCGGTATGCATCACTTGTTTCCTTTCATGGACAGTAACTTTGCCTTTCCATTTACCCATGCTTGTTTCTACGGTATAACCTGCCCGGAACCTCCAATATGCTGCACAGGAAACAAGCAGAACCTTTCGAATTCCACATCAATTTCTTCCCCATGTAAAGTGCACTGTGACTGTATCTTCCTCAATCCCCCCAAATCTTACAACCACCCAGTGGATTTCATAGCACTAGCAGCTAGGAGGTTCAGGTTCATGTTGGGCCGAGATCACTGCAGCTCCCAGATGGCCGACTGTGTCCCTGATTAGAGTCATCGGCATTCTCCACCTCCAACTGTGCAGCATTTCGGTTAGATTGAGCAGGCATCCCGGTTCATTCCCACCATGTTCCAAATTTCGCACAGTCTTCATTCTACCCAAAGACCCAGCAAAAAATGCCCACTTTTGGATCTTACAAATATACAGTACATGTCGGGCACTGGCCCTGTCAATACAATAGTTCCAAGCTGTATTTCCTACATGCCGAATAGTCTCTGCATAAAATACATGCACCAAATATTGATGCACATCACACAGTGAAACCTGTGTACAAAGCAACATTGTACCAACTCAGTGAGCCTCAGTTAGGCTATGCACCCAACATACAAGCTTTCTTTCTTCATTCCTCACACTTCTTACCATGTACCGTTAATTTTTTTAACAATGAGGGTGCAAGTACACCCACACCGCGCGCGAGGGGGAGGGGACTCGATGAGTTTCTTCATTTTGCCGTAAAAGAAAAAAAAAGCATGTGCTTATAAACCTCAGGGAATGCTGATCAAAACAGCACCTTGAATACATGTACAAATGTGACACACACCTGTAGCACTGAGATTAATGGATTTTTTGATGAAATTGTAACCAATCAAATTTTTGCATTATTCTATTAAGAACTTGAGTGCGTCTGTTTCATTTGGCCGGCATGTATGTATGTACACGTACATGGCAACTGAACTTGGCTGTTTTTTCGTGTTCATGCATTACTGTACTTGCAACCAACAACTTCAGGAAGGACAACACTTGACTAATGCTGCAACCAGAAACCAATGTCATTACTGCAGGCTTCATTACCATTAGCACCCTGTTTCTATAATAAGGAAACAAAGTCCACTTTCTCTAATTAACATTTGACCTTAAGGAACTATTACTCAATCCTGACAGGCCTAGTTTAGGTAAATTTTGACAATATTCAAGAAAGAAAACTTCAGAATTCTAACACCAGTTTGGAAAAAGACAACAACTCAGTTGAATCACGGCATTTTGTTTTGCGTCTGGTTACCTGACTCAAGCATTTTACATTCAGCAAAACAAATCTCCATCCAGGTTAAGGAACCAGACTACATTCACTTATTTGTCGTTCAGGCCGGTCATGTGCGCTGCCCTTTTACCCAAAAATTTCCCTCAAAAACCAAAAGCCCCGTTCTCTTTTCTTTCTGGTATGAAAGAGGATTTCAGCAACAACTTGTTTAGATAAGTTGTTTCGAAAAAGTAGAATTTGTTCCCTTATAATAAGAACAGGGTGCTAAAGGTAATGAACCCATTACTGCAGTGGCACCATGCTTGCATGCAAGTACTTTTGACCAACAAGGCTGTCTTAATTGCAGCTTGCCAAAATCATGCACACAGTAAGCCTAAGAAAACTGGTGAGCATGGTGCCACAAGAGTGATGGGTACCACTGGAGCCCTAGGGCTCGCCATTCACCCCTCGTCTCGGACAGGCAACAATGACAAGCCCAAAGTTCTAGGGGTAATTATGGCAGGTTGGATGTGACGGCACGATACACGATTGACAAAGTAACATCGTGTCGATGATAACAAGATTTGCTAATGATAATGCTTATAATAACCATGTAAATACGACAAAATGTACGCACATAAGACTGTGACTAGGGAGTAAAGAAAAATTAGGATCACAGTGACTAGGATTTCGGAACTACATGTACAACATATGCCTATGAGAAAAGGTTCCTTTTAACTACTCAAGCTGTAGGCTGTGATTGTAGAGTATACAAGATGGTCATGATGGTCGCTGTAATTCTTGTAACTGTACAGTAAGAATTCCATATATGGATATTATTAATTTTCTCTGGCAGTAGTTTATTAGCCATTAGAAAGTGAGACATGAGAAATAATTCCACATGCTGATGCCATTTGACGCCCCATGCATAAAACCCTTTGAGACTGGTCTGAAATATTCTAACTTACTGTTTTCTAAGCCAACAACTCGGTATTTTCCTTCCTAATTGAACTTTTCTGGACATATTTTTGCTTTCTGATGGCTAATGCTAGGGTCTGGCAGCGGAATGATTTTCAAAGTGGGGGGGGGACCAGTTGTTACACCATCGTCCGCATCAGCCATTAATAGTCAATCCATTCAGTCCTAATTACAGGACCTGTAAAAAGTGGGAGGGCCACCATCCCCCTGCTTCTGCCACGAGTGCAAATACAGCTGGTAGGTCACTCTAGGGAATAATTACTGGCATCTATATGGAACTCTTTCGTGACATCCCAGAAAGTCAACTTTAGCAGTGAAAATACTGATGTTAATTTTTCAGATCCGTCTCACAAGGTTTGTGCACAGGGTAGGCTATCTATTGAAGTGAGGTCTGGATATGGAACTCTTAAGTGGATCATACAATCAATGGAAAGGTTGCTCACGTTGTCATTCATCAACATGATCAACCATATCGTGATTATTATTCACCACTTGCCAAATGAAACTTATTGCAACCATCAGCATATAAGACTCTCACAGTAAACTATCATTTAGGCATTATTTAGGCTAGTTTGTGATGTTATCTGTGACGTGTCTAAGTTACACGTAACTTACACGTCCCTACATGTACGTAGGCTACCTTCAGTGTCAGCAGGTCAGTGACTTTCGAAATTCAACAAGCATGACAAGCTCCTTGAAAAGAGCTGGAGACTTTACAACCAACGATATAAAACCACATGACATGTGATTATGCTTACAATAACCTGTAATTACGTCTCACCTTTGAAAAGATAGTCGTATTCGTCGTCTTTCGTTCCCATCGTGAAAAGGCTTTCTTAGTTACCGCTAGTAGTAGTATTGGCTTACGAGCAGTACGACTTCCGGATTAATATTTACCGGTGTCTCTAAATCCCCTTAGGGTACCCCCAAATTCGAGGCTGAAAATATCCCACTAGTTACTAAGATGAATAGACAATTATCACACACAGTCTTTAACTTGGTACGTGGAAGTTACGATGGTAGTGATTTCACAGCATTTCTCATGTCGCTACGGCCTGAAATTACACAGCCCGACATTTGCAATGGCGGCGTCCCATAACGCCCCCCTCGATTTCTGCGCAAGGGGGTGACGTACTTCTGCGCATGGGTGTACAGTTAGAGAGGACCCGGATGTACTGGCTCATTTCTAATTCTTACGATGACTCATCGTACGAGGGTTGATAAGTGCCGTGACAGATAGTATATAATATTGATAAGATCAATAAATAAAAAATCATATCAGTTCAACCAGTGTTGGATGGGCAGAGAGCTGTTGAGGGGAGCTGCAACATTCAGAACGATGTTAGACAGGTCAAAATCGCCATACACATCTTTACAAGATTTTAACATTTCTTAAATTCATGCGGAATTCAGGGAGAACATTTATTTCACAGCTTTGTCTCATTCTCTTCTCTTTTCCAAATTGTTTTTTCTCTGGACACTTTAATGTTTTAAATCACTGAACATTAGCATATGGCAGGATGTGGTTTTTAGCCTCAGTGGAATTGTACTCTGTACTTTTAGTTTAGCTTCAATGAAGTTTTGTTGGACACAGTTTCTGTTCAACTCTGTGATCTCATTCATTGTACAGAAAACTTTGTTTCTATTTGGTTAAATGCATCGAAATTGTACTTGTTTAAACTTTTAAAATTATCCATGCTTTCCTGGACAACTGAGGGCGCTGTTGAGACACAGTTAGTGCATAGGCTTTTCTGAATCTGAAATCTGAAAACATTTCTGAGAAAGGAGTTGATGTTTGCTTATCGCTATGCACATGAACAACAATCAAGCAAAGAATAGAAAACTGAGTCCAGGAAAATTATACAAAAATGCAGAACTTTTTTGTATACAAACCAATGTACATTGAAACTTCTTCCTGGGATGACATCACAGTTTTGCTCATGAATATGGAAACCATTAGCATAGAAACCATTTGGAAGTAAAATACCCTTTGAAAATCAGGTTACCTGAGACATAAAGGTGCACTTTGAAAACGTAGTTTTTAAACACTTTGAGTAAATATACGAGTGGGACTGATTTAGTCATGTACGTGTTTGCAGGAAGGGTTTGAAGACAGACACGTGAATGCTGATATGAATAGGAACGTCTCACCTGTATTATGTAGTTGGACCTCTGTCCTTTGCTCTAAGGGATCTGGGTGTGACTATAAATGAAGTGAAGACAGGACTTTAAAAATCGTGGTTTTCGGGGGCCCGGCGCTCCTGGAGTGAATTCGGATCAAGTAATCATTTCCAGGACGGCTCTGAGGAATCCTTGGTGTCATAACCAGGAAATGATTAATAATAATAAATACTAATAAAAATGAAACATCAATGTATTAATTTAAAATCCCAAAAGTCAGCAGAGACATAAAAGATGGAAACTTAGTTTTTATTGCTTTAGAGAACTGCTTTCAGCAGAGCATCTTTTTTTCGGTCGTTGCCTCGGATCGGCCACTCGTCACTGAAATTTAGTCGAGCGTCCTCTTGTGTAAGGCGGTGGTTAATGCCGCGTTTATTATTGATTGCCTTGGTGGTGGGCGGGTTTTTGTCACTGGTAGTCGATATGGAGAGCCTCGGATTTTCAAATAGAGTACATGTAAACCAGTTATGTGACGTCACAAAAAATCGACCCGCTGGAGTTGGTTTCATTCATAAAATATGAATCATTCATCGTACGATCCTCGTTGTTTGGCGAAGGAAGACACGTGTGGGTGTGCCGGCGTTTGCGCCGTCGCGATACTTTGTCAAATCATTTTGTTTACAAAATCAGAAGAATCTGACAGCGTGCTTAACCCTGGTGATGCTCGAGAAATATCGCCGAAAATCGTGGGCAAATCTTGATTTTCTCCAAGGACAGCCAGTGAGTAGGCACGCTTGGTAAGCCATTCACAATATTCACTGCTTAAAGTAGGCCTACTGCTAGGCCTTGTAGTAGACCTAGTAAATTTTTGTGATGCAGCAAAGAGCAAGGAAATTGACACAGCTTAGCCTCATAGGCCGATTTACGCTGACATCACAATGTCTGAGAAAGAGAGAGTTCCGTATCTGGCCACTACAGTTCGTGACTTGCCCAACATGCCCCAGTTTAATGAACACCAACAAATTTGAAAATACGACCTACATGTAGTAGTGAAAGTTGTTTTCATGATTTCCGTCCTCCATCGTGTCCTTGGCCGGGCTGTGTGCTGCATTTTTGGTCATAGTGTACGCCTACCAGGCTACCGACTGGTTCTATCCGTACCTCGAAGAGGCTCCATTGTTGCTGTGTAGTTTAAGCCATCGAGGTAGTAAATTTCTACCTATCATGGTTTACAAGCCTGCAACCTGAACACACCACACCAGCTCGTTTGGTGCATGGTGGTGATCGTGCGGATGGCCGTAGAGAGCTTGAGAGAGTAGACACTGGACATGCTGGAGGAGTCCAACATTTTCGGACAAAGACTAAAGCTTAGTGTTACTGTTGTGTTTCATGCGGTGAAATGTGCTCTCCCGAACGAGGTTCAACTGTTTAAATTCAGGTGTTGTTATTATCATTATGACACCTTGCTGTACATGTATCCATGAAAAGTACTAAATCTCTTCCAACCAGAAGAAGTCAATTTTTTCTACAAACTAAATAAACGTCAAGAATACAACAAAAGTCGGCACAAAATTATATTATTCATGCTTTTACACAGATCTATTCTAACTGCAGACCAACCCAGCACAGGTTTTTGCCATGATGTAGTGGAGTGTACAATACTGTTTATAAAGCAAATCTATCGCATGGTCCTTCTTCGGGCATCTTAAAGAGGTGTTCTAGTGAGGATACATGGTTTCCATTGCCTGACAATGTTGACGAGGAGCTCGCTCTTGTCTGATGTGTAGTTGAATAAGATGCCATTTACACGTATGTATTTTGAATGACACTGGAATAGGCCTGTGCACTGATGATGTTACACTTTGTTTACATACATGTGCACTTTCCTTTGGAGCCAGTGGGGGTTCATGGTCCCCTGAGCGTCATAGCAAATGACACACTTGAACAAAGTGTGGCGTCATCAGTACAGAGCTGTTGGAAATGAAATAACTGCTTACAAGTTGCTTTTCTGATGGCTTACAATTTCAGTTCACTTAACTCCAGAAACCTGAGCAGTCATGGCGGGCATTGTGTGTGTAAATCTTTTGGAAGACTTCCATCTTGGACCATTACAAGTTTCAAACGTTTTTTCAACAAGTTTATTAAAAGGATGCCTCTCGAGTTTAGGGGAATACATGTATATGAAGAAAAGGGTTCATTACCTGGAGGGTGTCTGTTTGCAAAGTAGGATGAACATTGTGGTGTTTATGACACTGGAAATTGTTATACATGTATTCCTGTGTGGAATTCTTTGCAAATATTCTAATTTAGTCTTTAGTTTTGTAGTTCTGCATTAGATGGTTCATACTCCGACGTGAATTTGACCCCGAAGCAAATTCAGGCAGTATAGAATCTACGTAACACAACAGATGTGGATGTCATCAGAAACGATATCAGTCAGACACCTTTAGAGCAAGAGTGTTAGGACTTCACAGGGACCCTGTATAGGACTATCGGGGAAAACAAAAAACTAAGAAGACTTGGAGACCAAAATTGTACCCTGTTACAAGCAGGATGCTGTATTAACAGTGTTCTTGTTATCAAGGTTCAACTGTACTTCTCATTTCCCTTAGAGGTACATGTACATGTACCAACTGTGGCCACCTTCACAAATGGGTCATTCTGTAAATTTGGGGTCCAATTTTTTCCCGTCCCTGTTACGTCTGGCATCTGATTTTTTTACTGTTGAGAACTCATTGTTGAATTTCCAAGACTGAATGAGTACTGCAAATTACCTGCCAAAAAAATAAAAATAGTTTGAAATCAATTTCAGTGATACATCCCTTGTCAAACATGTCAGATGGTATTGCATGTCAGAGGTAACAGGGACGGAAAAATGTCACACTTTGGCCCCTAAATTTATAGAATGACCCAGATGTAAAAATGTAGAAAATGCACAAGCTTACATGTACATCACATAGTGTGGGCTTTCTGTGGGTGGTATTCCAGTTGTGCAAGCCAGAAGACAGTATTTTGGAGAGGATTAATCTAATATCTTATTTTCAAATTCTGAGTGGGAAAAAATGTGTCGGTGGACTGCATTCTCCCATTTGTTCCTTTCATAGTTGACGACTTGTGACCTTAAGAGATGACGCCGAAGTCGATGATCTTGATCACTATCTAATATAAAATAACAATCAACCATTTTCCGACCACTGTTGGTACATGTATTTGTCTGACCAGAGGTAGATTTTAGACAAAATGTTCGAAGACAAAAAAATATAGAGGTAAAATTCCCTTAAGCAAAATCCTGTTGGTGGCTTTACTTTTTTAATTTTTTTGTGGTGCATGTAGCATTTAAACTAGGACAATGTGGGCTTTTCTGTGACCTTGGCGTATGCACTGTGCAAAGATCGTATAGCGCCGCGGTGCAAGATAGCGAACTTCACCGTAAATACGCGTAAAACGTTGTAATCGCATAGGCGCCATTTGAGCAAGCGATACGCCTGCGCAATGCACATTAATGCACTGGCGGAGGCGCCGCGGCAGGCATGTGCACCTGGTGAGCCTGCACCCAAGCATTACCATAAACTGCACAGGCATATCGCTTGCTCAAATGGCGCCCATGGTAATCACATCTTTTGGGCAGAGTTATCCATCTTGCGCCTTGGGCGCTATACGATCTTTGGCACTTTGTGTCTTGAAGGCTATCTTACATATATTCTGTGACTCTGTCTGCCAACTCTAGAGTTTCAGGCTGCATCCGAATCTGTTGTCTAGAGCTAGGTCTAGGTCTTCGCTCCATTGGAAATGCGGGGAAACGCGTAGACAGTAGACCTAGCCGTAGCTCTGAAAGCCCGTTTCGGACATAGCCTCAGTCTCAGAGCTGAAGGCGTACCATTACATGTGTGTGTGTGCAATTCGAACTTAGACAAGAGCTTATGCTGTGGTAAAAGTGAGTGGAAGTTGGAAGTTTGAAAAATAACACACGTACATTTCTGGACTGTTGTTTGAAACTCCAATAAACTGAC